TACGAGGGCCACATATCGATGCGCGAACGGCGGCTGACCCTGAAGTGTCTTCACCCTCTTGCTGGCGAGTCTTCTTTATGCTCGGTTACGCGTTACATACGACCGAACGTTCACGGTATACTCGTGAGACAAATATAGTTTGTGCGTGACCAGGGTGACAAGTGTCGCATACCGCTGTTCATACTCCGCCGGCCAATCCGATCATTTCGCTATGAAATACGACCCGTTCCACACAGCAGAAGTGTCCAAAATATATTGTAGGTATAAAAATATATTTGAGATGTGGATATCATTTAGGATATCGCTATGGATGTGTTTCAAACATTTCTGCTGTATGGAGGTGTTATCATCAGATTTTTATACTTGTAATAACTTATCGTAGAATTGACTTTTACAAAAAATTCTGCACTTTTTTTTATCTTTTTCCTCACATCGTCGTTATACCAAAAATATAGAGAATAAAATATTTGTTTTATTTGCTCGTAATAAATTTTTCGGCACGTTCACAGAACGAAATTCGCGGTGCGACAGACATATAATGGATCGTTGAAATCTTTTCAGAACACAGGCACCGACCGACATCGGCCGGCTCAACCCGATATATACGTGAACGCACGCTGCCAAGCGCTAAAAACCGATCCTAAACACACTACTCAACAATGGTCGGTAATCATTTCTTCTCGACCGCCGCCGCACTCACGGGCGAGCGCGGGCAGGTGCTCGCCAGTGCTTCCTCCTTGGGGCTATAAAATCCGGACGCTTCGACAGGTAAGAGCAGATAAGATAGAAGCGGACGACCTCCGTGTTTGCGGCACCGACGAATCAATTTGAGCTTCGGGTTCGTCAAGGGTTTATTGCGGGCGGGTAGATCGCGGGCGGATAAAGTTATACGGATGTCTCTAACGAACGTGCCCAAAAGAAACGCCGCCGGATGCAATTTGGAGTAGAATTTGGAGTAGTATTGCTGCGAAGGGTCGCACCGACGGGACGCGACGTCGGTCGCTTTGGTCGATGCCGAAAGCCGGGCACTGGATTCAGGATAAGGCGTAATCGCAAGCGATACGTCTTGCCGACGTGTCGTAGGCCACGTTCGCGAACCTGCTCGCCGATCGAACTCGCTCTCTCGGAGCGGGAGCGTATCATCTTACCTAGACCGTAGATCGTGCTGCTCGCTGGCTCCCGTTGAAAGCATTTTCTTCTTATTGGCCATGTACTGTCGATTTCTGGACTACCTAATCGTAAATCACGGCCGAGACGGCACACGGCGTGTACATACTTGCATTCTTGAATGTACACGCTGTAACTCGACGATCGGTGTGCAACACAGCCAAGGACTGAATACGATAAGGGCAATTAAGGTCAATAATAAGTTTTAGCGTAGAAACATTTGATATATAATTTGGTAACAATCAATTGTTTATCGATTATTTATTTCGTCGTGTTATATTTAGAATTATATTTAAAATTATATGTATTACATATCCCCAGTATTCTTTTATTATGATTAAAGTTACGTGTTATAATTAGAATTTTGAAGAATAATTAATTAGAAGTTTTCGTTGTGTTAACTTATGACAACGTTACGTTAAGCGCCAGGGATCTCGTGACGTTCGTTGAGACTTTAATTCTCCTCGATAATCGCAACGAATGCAACCGGCGCGATGACCCCGCCGCTTCTCGAAGAATGGCGCGCATTTTCGCCTCGCTCTGCCGAGCAACGAGAGAGCGAGCGGCAGGTCTCTCAATCTCGATGGCTGCAAAACGGTTTCAAGGTTCCCCCTAAGAGCTTTCCGCGCGCGAGGTAACGAGGGCGCGATGCGCGTCTCCGCGGGGCACAGGTAGGTCAAAACACTTGCACAAGTCGGTATCCCCGTTCGCCGTCGCTACGACACGTCCGGACGAAAGGAAAAGTGTAGATCTCACAAGACAGAGCGCATCGCGGCCCGGAGGTAGTGGAGGAGCTCGCCGCCGAGAGTGAAATCGCGGCGGAGAGGAGAGTATACCTACACACTCACACATATACACATTCAGCGAAGAAGAAGGATCGCCGGTTTCGCCTCGTTGGCGCGTCGCGTCGCCTGACGCAAGGACCCACGCCCGCATTGTGTTTCGCGTCCAACTTGTCGCTCTCGCGCCCCGTTCATTGTGCACAGGTCTCTTCTTCCTCGTGTTGCCATCTCGCATCACCGCCGTCCTTTCCGTGCTCGCTCGCTCGTTCGCTCTTCCGTCCAAGCGGACGTGGCGATCGGGCGACGGGCGAGCGGCGAACACCGGCGCACCGGATTAGGTGGGTAGATGCGTATGAGTCACCTGGAGCCGCAGCGCAAGCGAGTGAGATTTTCTTGCATGCTCGCGCGCGCACGCGGAGAGTCGACGCCCTAACCCACATAAATCCGTGGCATTAGCCGTCCAGGAAAGGCCTTTTCTCGCGGCGCTCGTGTGCGCCGGGGGCCCGGCTGAACGAACGCGGCCGGCCGCGCCGCGCCGCGCCGCGCCGCGCCGGTGGGAGGCCCGTCCGTCGCCCCTTTGTTCGCCCGCGGCGGATGGAATCTCGTCTGGCGTAATCGAGATTCTTTTATTAAGTCATTCAGCACCGATGATGCACGAACGAGGAGGCGTTACATTATATGCGTTCGAGCGATCGAAGGCGTTGCGCTCGCGCTTTCGGTATCGGCCGATACTGGAGATAACCGCGCCAGCGAAGTAGCGAGAGAAAATCGCGAACACGGGCGGCGAGAGTGAATCCCGATGTTCGATGCAAAAATATAATTTTAATCGATGCATTGAAAGCGATATTCGATCGGTAAAGTTCTCGGCGTGGAAAGCAAGGATCGCTATTATAGGTTTTAAATGAGCGTGGGTGCCCCAGTGACCGGATTTTTCCCTTCTAGTTCGATCTACGCGTGACAATGCTCGACTTTTCGACGAGCGTGGGCCGCATCGCTTATTGCAATATGATCGGTCCATTAACATGATAGAACATGATAGAATACCCACTGATCCTCGATCGAAATCACCGATAAGATGTAAATTAACAACCTACCTAGCTATTTCTCCCCCAGGTAATATCATATTACTCCTCGTTCTAGTCTTCAATTAAACATTTCAGAGAGATCCAAGATTTCTATAATACAGAGCACCTGAAATTCTTTCCAAGGTAAAAAAAAAAGGTAGCTGATCTCTTGCACGGTAATCTAATCGCGCTCCACAAGCGCGATCGCCTACACCGGCGTACCTATCTCGCGCAATCGAGCGAGTCAGATATCCGTCCAATCGAAGTCGGAACGTAGGTCGGCAAAAGGGAGATAGATAGAGAAAGAGAGAGGAGGAGGAGGAGGATTGCCACGAGACGCGCGGGGCGATGCGGCGAGGGAGTGCGTGGAACAATGGGAACCACTGTCCGGGCATCGGCTGGCCTGTGCCGCAACTCGCGCAGGAGATCCGATAAGATAGGGAGAGGGTCTCTGTATCGCTCGTAGCCACCATTCATCGGCGCCATCGTCGTGGGCACCTCTTTACCCTTTTCACGGCGCGGCGTATTAGAGCCATTGTGTTATCTGTCATGTCGGAGATATCCGAAGGGCCAACAGAGAGCCGGGACACGCGGTGCCCCGCCAAAGGAAACTAGTCGCGTCAGAGGCGTGAAAAGCATCTCGCGTGGGTGGCACGAGACCCGGTACCTCATTCGGGGCCAAAAACCGATGACTGCGCGGTCGATCGGAGCGCGGTCGACGACAGTGAAGACGCTCTTAAGAATACGTCTGAACGATCCGGTAGATAATTAAGTTTGTCCTACAGTCAAGTGATCTTTCGATAAAAACGATCCGCGGTTGAGTCACCGCGCGCCGTCCATCTCCCACGCCGATTACGTACGCGAGACTCGTCTAACGGTCGCGCACGATAACTCTTTCATCACCGGAAACGATTGTTATCCGCGGAGAGCGGGTCGCGCGAGCGAGTCGTTTCCCTAATCGCGCTCCAGTAAGAATTGATTTCCTAGGCGGCACACGTGCGCGGCCGCGCGTACGAACGAGCGGGGCGAGGACGAAGACGCACGCTGGGAGGAGCCGTCTGCCCACGTGCCCGCGTGCAAAGTTATATCCATTCATCCGTGCATCCACCTACCTACCTGACACCTACCCGCCTGTCCGTCCATCCTAACGTCTAATGCGTTCGCGCGCTGTTACTTTCGCGCGCCCCGAATTATTGTAAAAGGCCGCGTAACACTTGCAACGCGAGAGAGGCTCGCGCGACCGGGTCGCTCGGGCCCCAGTGCGGCGGCTGCTGTCGTGCAACAATGGCAGTGCACGCTCTGACGTTTCTCATGACGATTAATCCGCGGACAATGCGCGGTTGCGCCACGACAATTAGCGACAACACTTTTGCCGGTCGGCGAGAGTGAATTGTTGGGCGCGCGAGTGAGATAGCGAGCGTCGCGTGAGCGCCACACGCACTCTATCGCGCACGCACGCACGCACGCAGTCACGCATGCACGTACGTACATACGTATACGTATAACGCGCTCTAGCGCGGACGCACTCGTGCGCGCTACCCGGCCGCTCGCTCGTGTGTGCGTTTGCTTACGCTTACCTACGCCTCGCCGCTCGCGCGTGCCTACCGCGCTTTGCGTATGTAGAGCATGGGACCGCCATTGTCTATTGTTGCTCGTTTTATTATCCCCGGGTCATGGTCGCTCGCGCCGGCTTGGCTTGGCCAATCCAAATCGCGCTACCATCTAATTCTATTATTTTAAATAAGCACGCACCTTCAAATGTCTCGCAAACTCGCCACTGTCATTCAAATCGCCAATCGTGGTAAAAAAAAAAAAACTTGTTACAAACATTCTCAGAGATTCACTTTCGCTTCTGTACTTTGGATTTAAATTTTTCTAATTTCTGACATTTGTTAGCAAAATCAACAAACAGCAGTTTTGCTTTTAATCTAAGAAGCTATAATATTATAGAACTATAGTGAACAAAATTTTCCATTGAAAAGATTACCTTATTTCGCCTCTCAGTCTCTGCGAATGGAAATAACAAACATCTTCCTTGTGTCATTTAAGAAGAGTCATCGGCCTACTTAGGATCGTTCTAAAACTCGTCTACCTGAAAAAGAGAATGAAGAAGATAAAAAAAAAAATACTTTGTGTTGTGCCTAAGCTTTAAAAAACGATACATTTCGACGTTCAATAGAGTCATTTGGTCGCTATTGTGATACTCTATTCTTAATGCCTACATTTTATTGTACTAAATGCATCTAATAATAATAATGTAAATATACATCATTAAAAAATAATCCCTCAATAATCGAAATTGTCATTTTTTACAATTTGGAATTTCAAAGAACGCTCGCCGCGGTAAATCACGTCGATTAGAAATGAAGCGGATGAATTCGCTCGAGACATGTTTATTCACGTACGCCCGACTATTACTAAGCGATATAGCACCGCTCGCAGATGGCGGGATTGGAGGACGACGCGCGGTAAGGAGGAGCAAAATAGAGAGGTAGAAGAAAGAAAAAAAAAGATGGAGGATCCTTATAGGAAGAATAAAAGAAAAGACGAGGGCGAAGAAGGCGTCGGAACGGTCGCCCGCAGTGCCGCTGACTATTTATCATAAGATCGATCGGTATCTCGAAACGATACCGGTCCGATCGGCGTCGTATCGATTCTTCTAAGGGCTTCAATTAACGTTATTAAAGCACCATTAATCTCCGGGTCGACACGATGTACGGTATGCGCGGCATGCCGTGTCCCGCGCTCCGTCCGACCCCCTGCGATCCTCTCTCCTCGCATCCGATCCCGCGGTAGGATGGCACGGATGTACGGAACGATCCCCGAAGCTCAATCCATTTGTTCTACGATCCCCTATCGCGATCGGGTACGTGTCAAATAGCTGAGTATACAATCACGTTAAAGTAGAACACGTGAACGTGAACTATCTAAAGCGTTCTTTTTCAACGGGCTATCATAAATCGAAATATAATCGCGTGATTAAAAAATTACAAGCATATAAATTGAGTGAAGTAAGAGCTATATCCAAGAAGAGTTAATATATTCATATTACTGCAATAGCGTTAGTATTTTCTTATTTAACATTGAGTTGCACGCGCGTGTATCTGTCTAAGTACAGTCGTGAACAGGTCGGTTGCGACATTTTTTTTTTATTAGGTTTCAAAACGCATTAATATTTTGCATGCGAACCACGATTGGTGTTATACTGTCTCTAGATTAAAGATTACAAGATGGTTCGCATTTGCAAAATATTAGTTACCTATAAAATATATATCATGTATATTAAATATATAGAAACCTATAAAAAAAAATGTCGCAATCGATCTGTCCACGACTGTACATAGTTATATGAAGAGATCGTTAGATATCTCATGTGAGATTTCGTTAGGAAATACTTTCCACGTAGAAAGATGTAAGACACTGAAGTTCAATATCTTTGTCAGTGACATAACTGTCACGCTTGACTTTCTGCCAATTTGCATCCGTCGGAACTGAAAGACATTAGAGAAATATCTCCTCTTTTTTTTTTAAGTAAGAACTGTCGTTGCACGAATGCTGTAATGCTATATGCAACTGCCTTAAATAATTGCCATATGTCCATTACCGGGTAATACGCGGGATTGCACGTAAGGGGAAAAAGTGCAAAATCAAGCGTTTTTTTTTTCAAGACGGACGGCGCGGTACGGTGCGTAAATCATACCGTGAAAGCTTTACGATAGGTCGCGGCTAACATAAGTACGCGCGAGTACCCTTGTTAGCTGGCAAATTAGAAGCATCAGCAGTACGGAGGTCATTTGCAAAATCGCGTTTCACTGCGATTAAAGTGCGAGTATCTACCGAGTGCGTTTGCGTAAATGCATTAAAAAATTTTTGAAAGTACGTCATAGATTTTGCGAAAACTGATTTTTTAATACAAAGCAGCACAATCTTTTTTACAACTTTTCGTTAAGAAAAAGATTTTATAATAGAGTGAAAAATTATTTGCGAAAGCTTTTCGATTTTAAACCCTGCAGATTTCACAAATAACCTGATATATTATATTTAAAATAATTTTTTGTAGTCTCTCATTGTTTTATTATATGGTTATTTATACGGTTAAAAAATATGTACTATAATGCGTTATGCAATTACTACAAGAAAATAGAAATTCCGCGAGATACGCTTCTGTATATATACTACATATGGATCTCGCAAAGGCAGATGATATTTTTTAGCCAAAGTACCAAGTGAGACACGCATAAAATCGCATGCACGAGACACTAGCTTTTCGGTGTCTCTCCTGTTGTATGTAAAGTCGCGTTAAGCGCGTATACCTCCTCGCTCGGTCCGCGCTAATGAAGTAGACCAGACGCTGGGGCAAGAAGCACGGTCCATGCCGCACTACCGGGGCGTGGCCGCATACATGAATACGAAAAACGCGGCGGTCCCTCGAACGAACGAGTGCACGAGGCCCGAGCGCTCTGTCGGAAATAAGGGGGTATAACGTCCCTCGGAAGGCGTCATCACGATGCGTTTGGTGAAAGTAAATCGCGCCTACGAGTCCTACAGAGCCGTACGATCGTATAAGAACCAGAAGGAGTAGCTCGAGAAAACAACATTCGTTCGTAAAGCGAGTCTCACATGTAGTCATAATAAATTGCATGTATATAATTTACGAGATACATCGCGAAGATGCGGTATATCTCGTAAGAAGATTCCTTGCTCATGCGTCAGATTGCGCAATTGTTTTTTCCTTTCTAAACACGCATTATGAACGCTTTTGTTTTTCTATCATCGTCAATACGTATCGTGTTTATTCTCTGCTCTTATCACCGTCAAAATCGCGGCATCGACATTTAAGGATAATCACGTATCCCACTAATTGAATGGATAATTGAGTTTCCTCGACGCAGACTCGAGCCATCTATCTCCGGCGTGTCCGCCTTTCCATACATTACGAAAACACAGTCTAAGTATATTGTTAAGAGCGCATCGTCGCGACAAGTCGCACGGGGTATTCGTGTGCTGCGAGCCGCGAAGTTCCGTTTCCAGCGCGGGTCTCAGCGCGCGCAAAAGAAGAAACCGCCAGCTTGTGCAGCGAAGGATGCATCTGGCGCGAGGTCCCGGCTCGTCCTTGTCGATTCCGTCGCCGGAAACGCAGCCTCTTGACCCCCCTCTCCTGGCCCCATGTGCGCAATACTTCCGGCAAGCAGACAGATCACGTTTAGAAACAGCTCGGATTCGTCTTGCTAAAGAGGATCGCGATGTCTAGATAAAAATGTAATTAGCCATGTGTAAAGCTCAAGTGCTGCGAGTATGGCGAGAGTAAGGCGTATGTAATAGTAATAAAATGTAGGGCTTGCTGCGTAACAGTGGGCCAACTCACATTTTATAACGTTTTATAAAAACGGAGAAAATAAACCACAGTTCATCACTTTAACTTTAAAGTCAGTTTTCTTCAAAATATGGGTTAGTTCTCTGTTCAAGGGCATCAAGCCCTTATAGCATTATAAAAAAAGTTCTAATTATCTACTGTAAAGTTAATTTAATCTTAGGTATGTGTTAAAAAAATTTTGTACGTATTTATATAAATTACATATATTTATAAAAAAATAGGTCAACGTGGGTTGTAACATTACTTTACTTGCGGATGAGTAGATTAATTTCTATAATTAATCATCTATAATAAATTTTTACAAATAATATATAAGAAAAATATTGAAAGGTAATTCTATAGAAATTTTCGTACAGAATTAGTTTAATTACACTCTCAAAGAAATCAGAATGATAAGCATATCTTAAAAATATCGCTTAATCCATACAAATCCACATGCACTATCATACTTGCAGCCGGATTTCGCTTTGTCTAATCGCAATTACATCGAGCACGTCCTTCGCCGGAACTTTCTTGCGATCGCGATCGCGGCACCTGCCGCGGAGTAGGGATCGATCGAGAACGAGACAGCGGGACGACGTGGAAAGGGAGACGGAGCGGGGGAAACGGAGAAGCGTGCGAGGCGGAGAGGAACGCGAGGGAGGATGTCCAAACGGAATCAGGATCGGCATGGGCAGAGAACCGTGCACTAAGCAGCCTCGTCGACATCCTGCCTTTGCCAGGATTGCGACATTGGCTCCGTGGCTCGCGCACGGAAAACACTGTGTCTCGGGAGCGGAAGCAGATCTTGCGCAATCGGGCCGCCCATTGTCTCTCGAGATCCTCCGCCGCGGGGCCTCCGACTTCGGCTTCAACATCGACGTCTTTAACGCTCCGCGCCGCGTACCGACGTGAACATCTCGCGGCTATCGGGTCACGCTCGACCTTACCATGAAGCGTATCGATCGCATTTCGAACGAACGCGCTGCAATCACTCGGGTCTTACGTTGATTTCGTCTCGGTATTTCGTCACTAATTCCCTCGACCGAAATAGTCTTAGTGCATTACCTGTAAAGCAATCGTGTAATTGCATTCGCTTGCACACGGCATCGATGCTTTTAGAACTCGCCTTTATTCCTAAAGGGCCCTTTTACCTCTTTTAATTGCAGGTGTTACGCTAATGTCATCTTTAAGTATCTCGTAAGTAACCGCAATTTACGGTATCAATCAATCTCGCAGTTTCCGCGTAATAAAGTGCTTAGGTAATTCCGTCCGATCACGGGGAGCGAGACCGTGCGCGCGCGCTACGATTTTACGTTAAGTACGCAATTTTGCGAAGGACGCGTAGGCATAAGGTATAATGCTCGCCAAGGTGTGCGGAACGATTGCTACACTATTTCCTCCTCGCGCAATTTTACACTTTGCGTGGTGCACACGCGGCTGTACAGCCGCGATACGCCGCGCGCCGCGGCGTGGCGTGGGTCGGGCGCCAGAAAAGCCGCGCGTGTGAAATCTATGAATCACCATCGCGCACCGGCCGATACGTATACACAAGAGCCGGCGAGTAATCCTTAGACGCGTCTCCTCTCCGGATAATTCCGGCGAACCGGAACGCGTTTATCGCGCCGCGCCAATTACTCCGTCGCGTGGGAGGATTATGTAAAAGGCCGACCTCGGGAATGCACGCGATAGAGGTAAAATAGGTGAAAATGTTGCACGGACTACGTGCGTAAAATTGC